TATTTTCTGTCATTAAAATTGCGTATCTAGCATTAACACTGCGAATATTGCTTGAAGTTTTATTTGAAAAGTCAATAGCGAGTTGATAAAAAAAAATCAATAGTGAATCATTTAAACAAGGAAATTGTTATTAAATGTTTGAAAATTTTACAGTCAAAGATTTTGTCACAAAATATTTTAATTAAAAAAATGGAAGATATCTGTTCTTATCAGTTTTTTTTTTTAACTGAAGATTTTTTTATATATAAGTAAGACCAACCATAACCACTGTTCATAAGAAGAAGCTTAAAGATATATTTTAAAGAAAAACGAAAGGTAATCAGGTTGCGTAATAATATGTGTGTACCGATATATGTTGATGTTAAGTTTTCTGCTGAAGTAGACTAAAATTATTTTATATTGAGATTCCCCTAAATCTTGCAATTACCGTACAATTTTTTTTTTTGTAAAACATTACCGTGCGTATTATTATTAAACCGTCAGTATTACACAATATTTTCCTCAAATGCTGCTCTTGAATTTGAAAGTTATGTTTGTACATCTTATTTTTTCTTTGTAGGAACTCCAGACAAAAAGTTGTTGCATCCTATAGCAATATACATAATGGCGACCAAGAAAATTTCATCTCTTTTATTATTTTCCCTAGTGGTCTTTATCCTCATATCTCTACCCATAATTTCAGGTAACATATTTCTTATAGAGTTCTAAAACAAAAGAAAAAAAAATTTAACATTTTACCAAAAAAAAAAAACCAAAGAAAAAACTATTTTCTATCCGAAATTCTCTACAATATTCAAATAACTATTAAGTTTTAACAGTTGACTTAAAGCAATCTATACTATTATTTGCAAAGTGATTTTTTACAACGGAACTCTCACGTTAAAAGATGGAGTGATTAATATCGTTAATACCCCTAATGAATAAAATATATAAATTAGCCAAAAATAAAAACGAATTTAATATTTATTGATTAGATAAATGATTTAAATTAATAATAATGATAATAATTATCCATCATCTAAATATATATTTTAAAAAAAGAAGATAATTCCTATATATTATGATATTATCCAGACAATATATTTTAATAAAAAAATTTCAAAAACAGAAAACACATAAATAAATATTCATAAATTAAAAATTTTAATTGTATATCATTGAAAAGAGAAAATTAAAAAATTTATAATACGTAATTATTATTCAAAATCAAAAATAGAGATTTTAGTTTTAAAAAGATAATTCTGCTATATATTGTGTTGTTATCCAAAAAAAATATCTTTTATAAAAAATAAAATTCAAAAACTCATAAACAGAAAATACATAAATTAATATTAATAAACATTTCTTACTTTTATATATTTGAAAAAGAATATTGAATTATTTTTTTGATTTATTTACTAATAACAATATAATAAATATTTTTTCAAAACAAATTATAGTATATAAAAATTTTCTAATGAAAATATAAATAATAATTTATAATTATAGTTATTAACGCATTTACTAATAATAAGTAATGCGTTTACAAATAATACGTAGTTATAAAATTGTTAAACCCGCATGTACGGACAAAACACCTAGTTAGACAAAAATTTCAGTTTGCATTTGCAATATAATTTTGATAATTTATATGTTGGATTATTTATTTTTGTAGCTAAATATTGGTAATTTGATGAACTAAATAGGCGATGAATGTGTACCAAAGGGGCAATGTGGCAACGCAATATCCATTGTTTATCGCTAGGTTTCCGGTATGGGGGAGTTTGTGTACCAAGTGGTGCAGACGATTCTTCGCCTTTACTTTGCTGTAGTAAGAGATATGACAGTACTCCTAAACACTAATTATTTCTATATGTATTCACTGCCTGGTTATATGAATAAAAATATATACTTAAAATATGATTTGATTTTACAATACCTCATATAAAATTTACTACTATCAATTTCTTTTGTTTGCAATCTAACAAGAGAGCATGAAAATCAAACCTTAAGAGATAAACATTAATGTTGCTCATTAGAATTTTGTGGTGAATCTGGAAAAGTAGAAATGCATTGGTGTTTCATCTAAAGCATATAAATTGGTGATTGGTGATTCAACAAGCAAGAGCTGGTGCGGATGAATGGTCGATACAGATATGAACAGTACACAAAAGTACAATGTGGAAACTACCAAGGGAGAGATGGAAAAAGTGTAATATTGATGGATCTTTTGTAAACTAAACAATAGCAGCTAAACCAGGATGGGTGGTGGGAGATTACAATGGTTGTTTTATAAGTATATATTCACATGGTTTATAAGTCAATTGCACATTCCTAATTGAAAAATATGGTTGTGTTAGTCAAAATGGTGTAATGAGAGTGGAGCCAGAAAGAGGCGAAGTAGTGGACCTTCTTATCCGTGTAAAATGGAGACAAACATGGTAGTATACTTCTCTTTCAACTAATCATGAAAACTATACTAAGATAGCGATATTTTGACTTTTATAATATTGAAATATACTTTTGATAAATGAGTTGAGGTAACTTAAACACTTTACTTCATGAGTTAAAACAGTTGAATGACTGAATGCGTTGAGTTAAAACAGTTGAATTAGCAAATGGTTTTGTACATACATATATACATACTTACGTAGTTACATAGTGCAAAGCAAATGCATTTTTTGTCAAAAAATTGTGAAATTTATCCAATTGACTCGAAAGACTTCTATTATATTAAAAGAGAAGTCATGACTCATGTAAAAGAAAACTATTATAATGAGCTAAATGTAATAAAATTGTATTAAATTGATAAATTTATATATTTTATTTTCGTAAGTATATAATATTTATGTTCAAAAATAAAGTCTAATATGTTGGTAAGACGGATTAACGTTAGCAAACTATATAATACATTTATATAAGTTTACATGTATTTCATTAAATCTAATAATGTAAAATCTTTGTAACTACTTTAATCATAATATCTTTTCATTCTAAATATAAATATATATATTTATATATTAGATTTTAAAAATTCTAATAAATCTGTGTAAAAATATTTTAAGAATAAATTAATGTATTTTACGTTATCGTTTATAGAATGAAAACTTTAAATTATATCCTATTTTATTTTCATAATTATCATGTTAAAAGATAATTATTATATTGAAATAAATATGATAAAAGTATATTAAATTGATAAACTTATAATAAAAATTCATAAATATAAACTATTTATTTTAAAAATATAATATGATGACAGGACGGCTTAAAATTAGCAAACTATATACTGCATGTCTAAAAATTAACATATTTTAGACTTTTGTATATGCAATAATATATTATCTAAAATGAGTAAACATAAAAAAAAATAAGGGTAAAAGAAAATATGACGGGTCAGAATTTACCATAAATTAATTACAAAATATTTTCAAATATTTTCTTCTCATAAATATATTAATTTTATTAATAACTAATGCAAATACAATAAGATAATATATAATAAGAAGTGACAAATAAATATGATTTTAATAATTGATTAATATAACATATAAATTATAAAATTATTGTATTTGAAATAGTTAGATAAACATTCAAGTATATGGATAACATTAAAAATATATACCACTTATGTTCTAAAACAAATATTTATGTTTATAAAAGTGAAAACAAACACCTGCGCAGCCAAAATCTAGTTATCTTTTAGAAATGTTAACACTCTCTAGTTTTAGTTAAAGAAATCAATTAAAAATATAATTGCGAACATTATAGTGGCAGATTTCTTTGAATTAACTCGGTGAGGAGGAAGGGGGTGGTGAGGATTATTGATAGTTTGATACAATAATTCATATATATCGAAAATCCAGAACTTCTACAATACACAAGGTCCTACATATTTAGTTTAATCTTTCATATTAATTTTTGCTATGAAAGTGAAAGACTATAACCCTTTGGATATTTTCGTATTGGACTCCACTTGGCAGACTAGTCCACTTTGCCAAGAAAATATGGTGCTCCAGTCCTCTAATTTAAATTTGTCATCTAGAAATGGATGTATACTTATAGTTCAATCAACTTGCTCTAATCTCTAACTAGAGTTTCACCCGCACATTCGTGCGGGTTTATTTTCCATTTTATAAATATTTAAAAATTTTAAATATATGATTTATATTCTAGTTTTAAATATAATTATATCTAATAACGAAATTAAAAAAATACTTATTTTATAAAAAAAAATATTTAATTTTTTTTTATGAGATCTTATTAGATTTTTTCAACAGATTTTGTTATATTTAAATTCATTTATTATTAATATCCTTATTAACTATTAAGATATTTTGAAAATAATATATATTTGATTGGTTAATGTAAGAATCAAATATGTCAAATTAAATAACTAATGACATGGTCCAACATGACTTTTAAACAGTAGATAAATTTGGTACTTCTCTTTTAATAGAGANTTTTTTCAACAGATTTTGTTATATTTAAATTCATTTATTATTAATATCCTTATTAACTATTAAGATATTTTGAAAATAATATATATTTGATTGGTTAATGTAAGAATCAAATATGTCAAATTAAATAACTAATGACATGGTCCAACATGACTTTTAAACAGTAGATAAATTTGGTACTTCTCTTTTAATAGAGAAGATTGACTAATTACATATTTATTTTCTAAAAACAAGTAGGCCTTAACCAGAGAAAACTCCTACGTAAACATTATTTCTACCACTTCAAAAAGAACAAATCGAAAACCGAATGCTATTATTTAGTCAACCAGCACTGACTAATACAACACGCGCTTTCGGAGACTGAGTCTCTCAAAACAACGTCGTTTCATTTAATCCCCATTCCCCACACACTCTATAGCCGGCTTAGTTGACTCACACGTCATTCTCTGACCTATCAGTACCTTCTATAAATAGTATTCTAATACGAACTAACTCAACTCACAACTAAAAAAACACACACATAGATCTTCTAAAACCCTAAACCATAAACACACACACAAAATGGGTTTAGTAAGATCATTATGCTTATTCTTCACCTTCCTTAGCTATATAGCCATATCGGTCCATGGACAAGCCACCGCAAGGCCTAGTCCTGGTTCTGGCACGAGGGTTGGGTTTTACTCGACCACATGTCCTACCGCGGAAACCATTGTCCGAAACGCCGTGGCAGCTGGCTTCAACTCTAACCCGAGAATCGCACCCGGGATACTAAGAATGCATTTCCACGACTGCTTCGTCCTAGGATGTGACGGTTCGATCCTTATCTCGGGAGCTGGCACAGAGCAAACAGCCCGTACGAACCTCAACCTCCGTGGCTTTGATGTCATAGATAACGCCAAAACACAGCTCGAAGCTGCATGCCCTGGAGTCGTTTCTTGTGCTGATATTTTAGCTTTAGCCGCTCGTGACTCCGTCGTCCTCGTAAGTCTTTAATTAGTTTAGTACCGTCGCATGCATTTTTATTATTATTTTATTTGTAACGTTTTTACGTGCATGAATTTATTTGCATGTAGACAAGAGGAATTAGTTGGCAAGTACCAACGGGACGTAGAGATGGTCGAGTTTCTGTGGCTTCGAACGCTAACAATCTCCCTGGTGCCAATGACACCGTCGCCCAGCAACAAGATAAGTTCTCCGCTGTGCAACTCAATACACGCGAACTCGTCGTCCTTGTCGGTTAGTTGTTTACATTTTACACAATACTCCCTTAGTGTTTCAAAAAAAAAAAAAAAAACACAATATCTCTCCGTTTCATTTTAGGTGTTATTCTAGATTTTTACAAATAGATTAAAAACACATTTAATTTTACATATTTTAAAGATAAAAACACAGTTGCCTATACATTTAACCACTTTTCAACCAATACAAAAACATAATATCATATAAAGTTAATAAATTTTGCTTCGAAATTCTAAAACGACACTTTTTTAAAAACGAACTTTTTCTCTAGAAGGACAACTAATTAGAAACGGAGGGAGTACAAAGTTACCATCAATTCGATAATTAATGTTAAGAAACTCTCTTATGTGTTCGTTGAACACTTCAAACTACTTTTCAACTGATTCATTTATTACCCCATTTTTCTCTGAAAATACAGAAAATGAAACCTTATTAGGAAAATATAGGAAACAATAAATTTGTAAAATTTTATTAGCAACATATCTAAATAAGTTACATCATGTCATTAACAGGAGGACACACGATCGGACAAGCAGGTTGCGGTGCATTGAGTAATAGGTTGAACAGCACCGCAGGCCCAGCGGATCCAACCGTTGACCCGACATTTTTGGCGCAACTTCAGACACAATGTCCTCAAACCGCCGCTACATCAGTACGTGTTGATCTCGACACTGGAAGTGGAACCACTTTCGACACCTCATACTACAACAACCTAAGCCGTGGCCGTGGAGTCCTCCAATCCGACCACGTCCTCTGGACAAATCCAGCAACTAGAACTATTGTGCAACAGTTGATGAGTCCAAGAAGCACCTTCAACGCTGAGTTTGCTAGGGCTATGGTCAAGATGAGTAATATTGGTGTGCTTACAGGGACTAATGGTGAAATTCGTAGGGTTTGCTCCGCGATTAATTAATTAACCGATAGCTATGATAAAAGTTCATAGCTGGATAAGTACTTGTTTCGAGTCATGTGGCTTTAGTTTCGATAATAAAATATATCAATAGAAAACGACATAAGAAACCTCTAAAGTGGTTTGATGAAAAGGTAATAAGGTATTATAAAGTGTCCGCATTCGATTTCTTTTGGTTTTACTTAGTTGAATTATTAAAATGTCATTTTCTTCACAAAGATAATAGAATGAGTTTGATTCTTTTTTGTCTTCTTATATTTTATAATGTTAACAATGGACTTCGGATGGTAATGATCATGTACAATAGTTAATGTTCTAAAACTGAGGCTAGATCTAAACTAAACAGAAAAAAAGAAGATATATATCTTAATTAACTTCAACGCAAAGTATAATAACTACTGGATAAATTGACTAAGATAAGAACTTAAACCAAAAGCGTATGAAGCTTAAATATACTTTCGGATAACTACATCTAATGGTATATTGGCATGTATATCCAAGGTATACTCACATTCGATGTATATTCAGAATGACGGGTTCTTAACTTTTGTATCATCATAAATATTTTAAGAACATGACTATAAAATATAGTTTAACGTCCCTTTTGTTTTACTATTCAAACTTAACTATGCATAATCAATGTTGTTGGAAAAAAAATAATAATCAACTCTATATAATAAATCCGGTCAAATATTTTAGTCTCTTCTAAATTTGCAAAACATGTTGCTCTAGTCGATTTCCACGATCTCTATAGTATCAAAACCCCAATTATTTGTAGCATTTTCAATATTTTATATGCGGTCTAAGTATTCCACGTCGATGTATACGCATAACCACTTCTGCCGTGGTGCTTTGATGCAATTTATTGCACAACCGTCTGATAGCATAATACTCCTTTTCATAGAATCATAGAAGATGTCAATTTGATACTTTTTAGGGTCCCGACTTTTCATTTTTAAAATTTCACTAAATTTATACTTATTTAAATTTAATATTAATTATAAATTCTTATTTTAATTATAAATAATTTTATTTATTTCAAATACTAGTTAAAGAATTGTATTTATTAAATAAAAATACATCTGAATTGTTTTTTGGAATTTGTCAAGATACTTAAAAAATGGTGGAGTAAGTCGATCTAACAAAAATAGAAAGAGCCGAAGTAAAGAGGTTAAATCATATATAATCAGGCAGTTTAGGCTTATCGATAAACTTTGACAACACTTATATAGGCTAATATTATAGTTACTATGCTACAACTACAAGTATGCGTATTACTTTGACAGACTACTATATATATTAAGTGAATGTATTAGCTGTATTGATTTAGACCGAGCAAGCATTCTTTTCACATCTTACTCACTATTCTAATCGAAAGTCCCCTTCTATTTTATCTGAATTGTCCGAACTACTTGAACTAATTGGAACCAATCCAAAAACTGATTATTATTTTCTTGCAGATAATTTTTAATTCATAATTTTACTAAACCAAAATTTTGTGACCTTCTATATAAATAGATCCTTTAATCCTCTAGCTGATAACTGAAGGACTCAAATTAAACTAAACTACCTAAAAAGCCTAGACCTGTTTTATTTACAACATTTAATAAAAATTAAGTTGAACAAGGATTGGTCATTGCTTTTTTTTTTGTCAAACAAGGATTGGTCATTGCTAAATAATTAAATTTTCAAGTCCAATATGTAACATCTCAAATTAACTACACATGCATTATGTATGTGTGTATACAAAAATTTATATGTAACAATTATTTTGCATATGACTGTAATTCTATACATCATCGCTATAAATTTTAGTCCTAACCATTTTTGCTAAAAGGAAACGGTAAGATGGCGTGGTTAACGCGTGTTGTGTTAATGTTTTGATTCGAAACTAAAAACTCCATAAATTTTGAATAGAAGACAAGCTCCGTGTAAAAGATCATTTTTTTCAACGATTCCATATATATTCTATTGGTTCATCTTTCCTATTCAATTATTTTTGATAACAATAGAAAGAACGACACAATCCAATAGTCATTGACTCTATCGAATTGCATCTCCACTACCACCCCTAAAATATATTTGTTTTCTGATATTTGATCACTAATATGCAAGTTATTTTCTTAAACACTTTTAAGTCTGTTTATTATCTAAAATATATTGCTTAATCCAAAAAAAGTCGCTAGAAATTATGAAATTTTTGAAACAGATTTCCAAAAAAAAACTGAGCCCAAAAACTATGAGTCCATGTTTTTCAATCAAATTGTTGTGATCGAGTACATAAATTGATTGCATATTTATTTTGTGGCAATAGTTTTATGATATGTTAAACCTGAATTTGTTAAACCTGAATGTTAAAACTATGAGTCCATGTTATAGTACCTAGATATGTTAAACCTGAATTTTTATCATTAATATCTTGGTAAAATTTTCTATTTTGACTTTTAAATTTTAATTAGTACTGATCTTGATTTGTACCGACATTAATATACGGGCGATTGATACAATATCACATAATTAACTGATAGAGCCATATAGTATTCTCTTTACCGGTTAAATAGTTATATACCAGAGCAGTTCTAAATACAGACCCATGAAGTTTTTTTTTTTTTTTAAAAAAGCTCATGAAGTATTAGTTTAGGGCTTTAACATTATCATTTGATTTCGCCCATTATCTTATAAAAATTCGTTCAATCTATAATACATTACTCAGGAAGCAAAATACACCAGTTAACTTATTTTCAAAGATATTTATGTTTTATTTAGTAATCTGTTTAAAATCCGTATCGAGTAAATCAGACAAGTAATTCTTTTTCACTCTGATGTTTTTAGTGAAAATTTCAAGACTAGAGAGAAAAATGATGAATAAGAAGATTATCCCGAAAGATTAATTGCGTCTTCAATAATTCCGTAGGTGATTGAATAATTGGTGTTGACGAATGACTGACAGTCGTGGAAGATGTAGTTTTGAAGTAATTATTACCAGAGGAAATGGCAAAATATCCGCCTTATTCATATGCTCATGTTTTGTTTTTTTATACATCTTCAAATGCAATTTGTTATTATTAGCGTATTGTAAGGGTTTATTAAAAAAAAAGAGTTCATGAACAAATATTTTACTGACAAAACGTACAGTGCGAACTGTTATTTCGTAGACAAACAATCGCGAACAAAAACAGATTGAGGAGGTTTATATTTAATAGAAGTGTACCACTCTTGTAGCCAAAAGATTCATAATAACATATATATTTTAAATAATAATTTAGTTCTTCATTTTCTTGCGCTGCATATAAATAAACGCATTAAACGCATATATGAATATTAATTAAGCATTGTGAACATGATCCATAAACCTTGGACGATTTTTTTATTTTTAGTTACTAGGTGTTTTGCCCGCACATGCAGACATAATTTTAGTATAATTTATTATTAGTCTATATTTTATTAATTCAAACCAAAATAATAAGTTATGATTTTTGTTTTAAAATTAATTATAAATGATAACATTCACATAATAAAATATTTTTAAAAATATATTTTTACGAATGTGTTGCTTTAATTTATTTTAATTATAATTTTTTCTATCTTAATTTTTTATTTCTATAATAAAAAATATATTTTCAAGATAACAATATAATACATAAGACGTATCTTATTTTTCTCAAAATATAATTTTCAATAGAAATTGTATTTATTCTATAATAAATTTTATATGAAATTATTCAAAATATGACAAATATTCAAAATTATCTAAATCATGGAGAAATTACAAATCAGATAATTCACTTAAATTTTCTAATAGAAAATATATGTTCAAGATAACAATCTAATACATAAGAATTATCTTATTTTTTTAAATCTAGTATTATTATATACATTCGTTTTATTATTTAATAAATTATATATGAAATTATTAAAATATGATAAATGAGCAAAGTATAAAACCATGGAGAAATTGATAAATCAGCATTGCTTTCTTTATATTTAACTATTAATATTTTAATTTAATTTTAATTTCTATGATAAAATATATATTTTAAAGATAACAATATAATACATAAGAATTATCTTATTTTCTAAAAGTATAATATTATTAATAGAAATTCGTTTTTATTAAATAATAAATATGAAATTGTTTAAATAAGATAAATAAATAAATTTACCTAAAATCAATGAGAAGTTGACAACTAAGCAAATTTACTTCTTAAATAATAGTATAGATGGTATTTTAATGATGAGTATTAATATTTAATACCAATCATTTATACGAAAGATGCGTATTATATATTTATGTTCACTAGTTTAGGGTTGTGTAATTAAATTTATAATATCTGATGACAAAAAAAAAACTTTATAATATCTTAAAAGTTGTTTTAGCGATGGAGTCGGAATCAATGCAGTTTAAAACATGGATAATAATATATATTTTTTTAAACGAGAAATAGTTACTTATATAATTGCTTGTATTTAACGGCAACGCCGACAAGTGAAGGCCAGTTCAACACCTCGTATCGTAACAAACTTGAGGTTTGGTCGAGGTGTCCTTGAGTCTGATCAGGTTCTATGGAATGATCCAGAGATTCAGCCCATCGTGGAACGTATGTTAGGACTACAGTTTCCGTTTTTGCTGTTCGGATCCGAGTTTGCAAGATCAATGTATACAAGATCATGAGTATGACTGAGGTCAAAAGACGGTTTTGGATGGGGAGATTCGTAATCGTAGGGTTTGTTCGGTTAATTGATAAAATATAAATTTTACCATTATGATGTTACAAGGACTGAATAAAAAAAGGAGATAATAAAGTTCATTAAACTCGCAGCTTTCTACGAATAACTAAAAGAAGTAACTAACAAATCGGGTAAGCATCTTCTATGATCATTCGATTTGATGTGTTCAAAATAAAAGTAAGCTATGTGTAATTTTCTTTGCTTATTTATGTTTTTATCGACTTCTAGAGTTAAAAATGTATAGAGTACAATTCCTTATGCAAACTATTATATTTACCTAACAGAGCATACTTGCCGTTAACAACAAAAAAATAAAATAATGATTCATATTTTATACAAATATATAGAATAACATTTGATTAATAAGATGTAAAGGGAGTTGAATATGACTTACAAAAACAAACTAAAAATATGTGATAGTCAACAAAGGCTTAAAGATTCAGTTTGAATACACTCTGCAAAAATGAATCTAATCATTGGTGGAAAATGATTAATGAAATAATAATAGCATTGTGGTGGACTTTGACAATAAATAAATAAAAGGCGAGTCAATGATCTTAAAAATAATAATACGCGATAATTTTCCATTCACTTTTATTTTTACAAGTAAATATATATACAAAAAATGTTGTGAAGATTTTCAAACGTTTGTCATAAATATTTCATGGATCTTATTTTTATCATTAATAAACTTTAAAATATTATCATTTATGTATCAGTTTAAGATTATTTTACCACAAATATTTATATGGTAAGGATTTTGTTACATAAATGTAGAATTTGTTACACTATCTAATTGGCTGAATTTTGGGTGATTTACCTAATCAGTCAGTGGAGCTATATTTCAGTTATGTTATATTATAATTCTCATTTGTATACATTTTGTAAATGCTCTGAGTCTATTAGCATAAAGAACATTGTTAAGTGTATAAATATAATTTTATTCTTCTATGTTTATTATCCTGAGTTTAGTTTATTATAACGATTTATTATTCATTAGATTTTTTTTAACCCATTTCTATTTTCATCTATATATTTTTTTCAAAAAAAAAGAAGAAGAAAATCTCTGTTACAGAAGAAGATTGAATCTGATGTATGTTTCTATAATAAAATTATTTTATTTATAAAAGAAATATAGAGATATGTTTTTTTCATTTTTAAATATGGATTCATGCGTTCAGTCTCATTTGCATATCCAAAAAAATATCATAGATATAAATTAATGTTTTCGTACTCATTTGTATATTCAGAGAAAATATCTATCTTTTGTTTTCATTTCTACTTAAGGATCGATATGAACTCTTCAATAGATTTGGGATATAACAAGTTAACTGAAAAATATAGATATGCTATATATTGTAAGAAAATTCTGTAGTTCAAATATATTTAAAATAAGAAATCAAACAATTTAGGAATCTGAAGTTTTGTAATTAACAATACATTTTAGCATATGCCAATCTATATACAGTTCCCGCAAACAGTCTAAATGCGGTTAGTTTGATTGTTTTTAATAAAAAGCCGGATTTTGCGACCGACAATAATAACATAATTCAAACTCAGGTCATCTCTTACGTTTTTAATTATAGAAAAAAAAATCTAATAATATAAGAGCAAATCAAAGACTACAACTTCAACGTAAAAATACAAATGAAATATACATACAAGTTGTAATATAACGGCCAACACGTTGTTTTCATCATCAGGTTAAAGAGAATTTCGTCATCAGAAAATATACACATATATGGAGCCAGCTGTCAGTATAATATAGTGATAATAATTGTTGGATTGTAATGAGTGATTTTAGCTTTAATTTTCATCTACAACCATTTTAAATCACCAATCATACTTTAAGTAATTTTTAAAACTAAAATAAAAAAATTAAAAAATGGTTATAAGAATCCTATTTTCTAAAACAAAAAAAATATTACTGTAGGACTGTTATAGAAATATCTTTCCTTTTATATTTTTTCTTCTTTAATTTCTATAGTTACATTAGATATAATTACATCAAAAAAGTCTACAGTCTAAATTCTACCATCTAAACTCTATTTTCTAAAACATAAAAAAATATTGATGTAGAATTGTTTTAGGAATATCTTTCCTTTTATATTTTTTCTCATTTAATTTCTATAACTATATTAAATACAACTACATAAAAAAATTTACAGTCTAAATTCTATATTAAAATTTCTACATTTACGGTTCAACATCGTAATGACTTTATTTAGTGAAAGTGATTAACTAACTTAAGCCAACGTTAACCCCATCCTCTTTGTTTTGGACCTTCTTCAGTCCGATATAGTTCAAAGATTCCATGGCGGTGAATACTTTTAAATTCTTAATTCATCACACACTATAATAGTATTACGTACTAATCCAAAATTACACAAATATTATTTTAAAATTAATATACCAGACAAAATAATTATTTTATAAGGTCAACTATGCCTAGTATATAATTCATTATCCTTTTAACTATAGGAATGTTTTGAACTTTTGACCAAAAAAGATTTGAAACCAATATTATCCCCAAGCAATTGATCGAGCTAATCTTTATATTATTTGCATATGACCCAAATGAAACATCTCTATTGTGGTTCCAACGGGTCTCGGAGATTTGCATTTTAAGCCAATTCATTTATATTTTTAATAAATTAGTTGCTTTATAATTACAAAAATCACATTTTAGGTTAACTGTAAATCCATTAATCAGCTACATAAATTTGCAAATCTCACTAAATGAATCAGAAAAACACTAACCAGTTTTGTTTTGTTTTGTTTTCTGTCAACCAGTTTAACATCTTTTCTGTTTAACTACATATCATCTGATTATAGGTACGATTTGATCAAACTTTAATTCTCTTATTAACCATCTAAAATTTGTAACGAAGATTACTTCGCTCGCAAAGATACAAAAGAACAATGAAAATATGTATAATACATACATATACGTTCAATGGACCGACTCGTTTACATCATAATGCAACTAACTGTTATTCAATGATTAACAATATCAACTTATAATAATGTAATTTCCCATAAATTCCGGCGTCGTGTGCCGAACTTGCTCGTTAGAATTCTTATTCCCAAGACTTTCTGGCCCTATATATACCAGTCCCTTAACACGAACTCAAAACTCACAACACACAACAAACAACAACAACTTTAAGCAAAGCTCAAACACTTTTCTTGATTAGTATTATAAAAAAAATACAAAATGAGTCGTGGTTATAATCTACTATTCATTCTAGAAACGTTTTTAGTATTGGTTGCAGCTGTAACTGCACAAGAAAACGGTGGCTCAAGCCGTGGTGTTAGTCAGAGACCGCGTGTTGGGTTCTATGGAGACAGATGCCGAAACGTAGAGTCCATTGTGAGATCGGTTGTTCGAGAACATGTCGAGTCTAACCCGGCTAATGCACCCGGGATTTTGCGTATGCATTTTCACGATTGCTTTGTTCGTGGCTGTGATGGCTCGGTTCTCATCGCTGGTAACAACACGGAGAGAACCGCCGGTCCAAACCGTTCATTGAGAGGGTTCGAAGCTATTGAAGAGGCTAAGACTAGGCTTGAGGCTGAGTGTCCTGGAGTTGTCTCTTGTGCTGATATCCTCACCCTTGCTGCTCGTGACGCCGTTGTTTTGGTAACACATTTTTTAACTAGTTCTTGTCGTCTAAGTGGTTACATGCACATGTACACATATAATATAACTATTAAATTATTGGGTTTGGAGTGATTTTAATTTTTATGCACCAATAAAAAAAAATTGTTAGGCCAAAAGATTAGGGAAAATATATTTAGTAAATAAAAAACTTTTCATAAAGAAAAAAGTGAAAAAAGAAGTAATATTGGATTTAGAAGTTATATAAATACGAAATTAGTGAATTGTAAGTTATTCATTCATATAATTAATATCCAAACCATAAAATGGATATGTATTTTAATCGTGTTTTCTCTCTAAATGTTTTGTTTTTTTTTTCGTATTTGATTTTTTTCTTTTTTTTTTATAAAAGGCCTTCATTCGTATTTGAATTCCGTTTATTCACAAGACTAAAATATTGTTTATCGGCAATGAAATTTGGGTGATGCAGACCGGTGGACAGAGCTGGCGAGTGCCATTGGGACGTCTAGACGGCCGAATTTCTCAAGCCTCAGACGTGATCTTACCCGGTCCAAACGACCCCGTGGACAAGCAGAAGCGAGACTTTGCTGATAAAACTCTCAACACACTAGACCTCGTAACTCTTGTTGGTATGTTGTCATTACATTTAGTTTCCAATACAGTAACTGAAAATGATAATGCTAATTTAACGAGTTTTGGGTTGACTAGGCGGACACACAATAGGAACAGCTGGTTGCGGTTTGGTAAGAGGCAGATTCTTCAACTTCAACGGCACAGGACAACCCGACCCATCAATAGATCCGGATTTCGTTAGACTGGTTCAGGAAAAATGCCCTCAAAACGGTGACGCAACGGCCCGGGTCGACTTAGATGAAGGAAGTGCTGGCAGGTTTGACACATCGTTCCTAAGGAATGTGAGGTCAAGACGCGTGGTTCTCCAGTCAGATCTAGTCTTGTGGAATGATCCAGAGACCCGAGCCATCATAGAACGTTTTTTGGGCGCACGTCGACCACCCTTGAGTTTCGGATTTGAGTTCGGGAATTCGATGGTCAAGATGAGTCGTATAGAAGTTAAGACAGGATCAGATGGTGAGATTCGTAGGGTTTGCTCTACGATCAACTAAGTGAATTGAAGCACAACATGCATGTGTGGTTTGGTTTTAATTTGTGATGTGGTTTATTAATAATAATCTGTTTGATACAATAAGCTTGTGATTAGCATTTTGTTGTTGATGGTTACGTTATGGTTGTACTATTTAACATGACAGTAATAAATGAAATTACCGTTTTTTTTTTTCACTCAAGTACGTATAGGTGTTTGCATGAACAAACTATCAAACCAAGGAAAATTTTGATTAAGTTAATTAATGAAAACTAATCTCAGTAATGATTATCAGCTCATAATTAAATTTATAAATTAATAACTTCTTTATATCGTAGTCTCTTTACACTTCTCGAATCCCAAAGTCCTAAGTCCAATGTTCAAGCCCTGTGATTTGTTATACAGTATATATATAAAAAAGTAATCAATGAACTCAACCATCATGTTACAGTGTATAACAACAAAGATTATACATTACTTGTCTGGAATTCAACTATACATAAACAAAAAGAATCTCAGAACTAACAATTCGTTTATTATGGGCAAACTTGGAAACATGATGGAAGTTATGGGGTGGTTTTGTTTTCTGTATTCTCTTCAACGGGACACCAAGGGAGTTCAATCAAACTTAAAAAGTAAACAACTACAAGACTGTGATAACTTGGCTTCCGACATACGACCCAATTACGATAATATAATAAATAATAAATAATCATTAATTTCGAATAATAACTTCATTGCGCTTATAGATCTAATTTTTTTTGTTTTAAATGAATCCACCCAAACACGGAAAAGTCTGTCAAAAGGTTTTTAATGATATTATAATGCTATAAACTTTTATAACCAGAAAACCCATAGCTAAACTACTGAATATGTTAACTAATGTGTACGAAGTTTAGATACTAATATTCAAACTTGTTTTCATGGAAAAAAGTGAAAATGAACATTTGTTTTGTCATTCCTACCGTTGATATTCTTCTTAAAGATCCGTATAGTTTCGATACTGTGATCTTTACACGTCGACCTGATCACCAACAAGAATCTCTTACTTTGGGAAATAAGATCTGATGCTTTTTAACTACAATGGAAAATCATCCTAGTGAGATGCATGTGTGTAAAGAGTAAATGGTAAGTCAATATATATGTATGTCATTTATTATTCTCTACCTTCCAAATTAAAATTTCGGGCAGAAACGATAAGCTTTTCTGAATCCTGCAAATTCAGTAACGTTTTTCTCTATTTGTTATTTTTGGACCGTAGTGTTGTCTCTAGGAGCTAGTTTCTGATGACCTCGAGTGAATCGACTTAACTTCCAAATTCCAACCTTGAATTTAATAGGGGGTTAGAACATCTCCAACACATAATATGATTTTAGTGCCCAAATCACACTATTTTAGTATTGTTTCAACATTAGAAATATTTTTTTTTCTAATCACAACACCAACTTTAACACTAAAAATTATTTTATAATATTATATATATTTATATTTTTTGTCATTTCTTTAATTATATATTTTAGATGAGTGAATAGTATTTTAGTGTGGTGAATAGAATTACATCAAAATTAATGTAAATTATAGTGTTACATTAAATTATTGTGATTTTTAGAATTAGGTTATAGATTTATGGGAGGTGGAAAGTCATGAAAATCGCCATTACTCCAATACCCATTTGATAACTTATGTACATTGGTTTTAGCCAGTAAATAACAGTAAGATTTTACAACAAATGATAAAATAAACCCTTTGTCAAAAAGGAACAAAACAAATGATTAAATACGATTAAATGACATAACCATAGAATCCACCCGCAAACAGATGCCAATTGAAATTCCTAAACCTCAACTAAAGAAGAGTTTTGAAAATAAATCCTTTCCTCAAAAGTTCAAATTTTCATTTTTCTTTTCAAATTTCCGATTCCCATAATGGTTACTAAGTAGTATTATTTTGCATTTTGATTTTATAATAATGTTTATGAAAGAAATCATAGGAAAAATAATGTTGAATTTGGTTTTGAATCTCTGATTAACCCATTTTGATCAAAAGGGAAAAAGAACTATACATATGTATATACATATTTGTTATCGTAGTAACAAAGCTAATCAATTTTCTTCGAACATAGTAAAGTGACACACAGTTGTATAAATAAAAACAACAAAAAGGAAAGATGAAAGGGCAAGTCTCTCTTCGTATTGACCCCACGATCACACATCCATATGACAATGCATGACACATACACAAAACGTCATCGTTAATATGCGCCACACCCAAAGCAACCGACCTACAAATACCCCCTTGCCCTTCCTTCTTCTCCTCTTTATACACTTCACATTCTTCACCACACACTCCTTCTCCATTAACACCTCTCTCTAATCTTTCATCTGAACACCTACAATGGCCACTTCCTTCTCTACCTTGACACCTTTTCTCTTCATCCTCCTTCTCTCCATCCCCTCCGTTCTTGGCGCTTCTCATCACCACACGGCGGCGCCAGCTCCGGCTGTAGACTGTTCGACCCTCATACTCAACATGGCTGATTGTTTGTCCTTTGTTTCAGCTGGAGGCACGGAGGCTAAGCCGGCTAGTTCTTGCTGCAACGGGCTTAAGACCGTGCTTAAGACTGACGCAGAGTGTCTATGTGAGGCGTTTAAAAGCAGTGCTTCTCTAGGCGTTACTTTGAACATGACTAAAGCAGCTACACTTCCTGCTGCATGCAAGCTTCACGCTCCTTCTATCTCTGCTTGTGGATGTAAGAGCATCCACATCAATGAACCCCCTCTTGGGGTTCATTGAATCAGTTTTTTATTATTAAAATTTTTCTGTTTTCTTTTTGATTTTTTTTTTTTAAAAAAAAAGAAAAAAAAAAGACCTAGACCAATCCCGGGCCGACACGTGGTGAACCTTAGGAGAGAGGGGTTCACCCGGATGAACTTTAAGAGAGAGGGGTTCATAGATTTTTGTTATTTTATTATTTTATTTTTTTGGTTTCCGTGTGAACTCCCCATTTGAACTCTCAATGGGGGTGCTCTAAGATCTATTAATTTATTAACCTAATTTTTATTTTGTGGGATTTTCATTTCTTAGATTTTATTTTATTTTGTAGATCTATGTTTGTATTTTGTATCCTTATTTTTTACATCATTTTTAGTTCGTTTAAGAATATATATATTTTTGTGAATTTGTGACTGACAATGTTTTTTTTTGTTGGCAGTGTCCGTCCCTCCTACTATGGCTCCAGGTATTTAAAATTCTCCTTTGTTTGATTTTAATTATTTTACTTAAATTTTTTTGTATCATGCAATGTTGTTTTCTGATATTAAATGCCAAAAAAATGTATTATTTTATTGGTTGATTCTCTTGAGACCATCTGGGTTCTGTACTTCCGTTTATACTTTTAGAACACCTACAGTTACTAGCTTAGACATGTGACGTGACATGACAAAGGTTATATGGATATAAAAACCCTTGTAAATATCGAACAAGAATTATAATTAGTGGTCATAAAGTTCAATTTTGAGGTGTTTATGCGATTGATTAAAGTGTCTTAACCTGGAATCATTATTTTTTGACCAGGTCTTGCTCCAGAAGGAGCTGCTGCTGCTCCTGGGCCTGGACTTATAACCGTAGGCCCGTCTGCAGGGAACGACGGATCTTCCTTGATCCCCATCTCCTTCACCACCGTACTCACTGCTATGTTCTTCGTATTGTTTTTTGTCAGCTAGATTTGGCTTTGGGTTTTCAAGGCTTTAGTTGCGTGTCTTTTGAGTCTTCTCTGTTTCAGACCATGTCGGTTACTGTTCGTATTTTTACTCTTAATTATGTGCGCATTGGTCCTTTTACAAGGGCGTCACTGATTACTCTTATATTGATGGTTACTTATTAAATTTCTAGTTTTCCTAAACAATTTCTTTGCCTAAATTCTATTTTCTATACTAATAGTATACAAATTATTTGTAGCATTTTGCATCATGTTTAGTTATTCAAAAGGAATTATGAAAAGAACCATTCTTTTAGTACTTTTGTTTTGGCCGGGCTGTAGAATTGTTTAATTTTAATTAATAGTCAAGATGATTGGTTGGGATGTAATGAATGTTTTAGCTTTAATTTTTATATCTAAAACTATGAAAATCACCAACCATCTTCTTTAAAGCTATAAGAAAAATAGAAATGCTAACCGTAAGAGCTTTATTTTAAATCATTATTTAATATGTACTGTTAAACAATTTTATTGTTGTAGGAATATCAATTTTTCTTTCTAAAACTGCATCAAATAGGCTACATTAACAAAACTTACAAACTATTTTTTACGGTAATTTTTTTTGTTACATTTTAACCAATCATTCACCTTCTTATTCCACATAGTGCTTTAGGTTTTTTTTGATGTGACTATTTAATTACCTGATCAGTTTTCAAAATTCGAATTCTTTGTAATGATTAATCAACAGTCCATGTCCGTTATGGACAAATCAACGATTATTCCCACGAAAAATTATCAACTCTGAACGCGCGAACTTTCCAGCGCACGTTAGATCCCTTCCTTCACCAACACTTCAAAAAAAAAAAAAAACTAAACTATACACCAAAATTAAATTAATTAAAAAACAAAAATAATTTGCAAACAATAATCTCTCTCTCTCTCTCTCCCACCAACAGCCGACGACGACCATAACCGTTTCCGCCGGAGTCAACGGCCATCGCTTCTCGCCGTTTCAGCTACTTGCTTCTCCTCTTCTCTCGAATCGATTCTTTCTTCACGCTGACAATCTCTGAGACGACGAGTAACAGATTCTCGTTAAGAATTAGCTGATCGCCGCTACGTACTTACTTCTCCGTGAGATTCGTTTTGATCTCCGGTAAAACTCCCGATCGCCTCCAGTTTCCGGCGATTCGATCTAGTAAGATACGAAGAATCTCTATCTCATGTGGTTAGGTTTTGCTCACCTGGTTAAGCTTAGCATTGTGATTTTGAGCTTTTAGGCGGTTAGGTTTTCGAGTGAAGCTTTACTGATTTGATTAACGGCGATTCGGTCGAGTAAGAAACGAAGAATCTCTATCTCATGTGGTTTAATAGCGGTTAGGTTAGCCTAAGGCCTTTGATTGAGCATTGTGATTAGTGGTGGTTATAGAGAAGCGATTAGGTTTTCGAGTGAAGGTTTACTGATAACCCTAGGGTTTAGCTAAGACTCGATTTGTTTAGATCTGTCGCTCGGATGATCTGATACATCAACAAGAATGACGGTGGGAAGGTTTCTATCTCTAGTCCGAGGAGACTCTGCTGAGTCGCCTCGTGAGATTACCTCACCGAGTAACCTCATTAACGACTCTGGTTCCAACGGCTGGCTTATTAGGTTTTTCGATTCGGCTTTCTTCTGTGAGTGGATTGCTGTTAGTTACCTCTACAAGCATCCACACGCTGGTGTTAGGGATTACTTATGCAATAGGATGTATACGCTTCCTTTATCAGGTATAGAGAGTTATCTCTTCCAGATTTGTTATATGATGGTGCATAAACCTAGCCCCTCGCTTGATAAGTTTGTGATAGATATCTGTGCTAAGTCGTTGAAGATTGCGTTGAAAGTGCATTGGTTTTTGTTGGCTGAGTTGGAGGATTCTGAGGATAGTGAAGGGATTGGTAGGATTCAAGAGAAGTGTCAGATTGCTGCTACTGTTTTGGGTGAGTGGTCTCCTCTTATGCGTGTGCAGAGTGAGGTTTCGACTCCTGGGAGTAAGAATCAGGTTTTGAGTAGGCTTTTGTCGTCGAAACAGAAGCTTTTCTCGTTGAAGTTGTCTCCTCCCATGTCATTCTCGCCTTCGCCAGGGAGCAATGTTCAGGATGATGGTAGTCAGTTATCTACTGAGGATAATAAGATTTTTAAGAAGCTTATTCCGAGTCCTAAAGTTAGAGATGCTTTGATGTTTAGAAAGTCAGGTGAGAAAGATGATGAAGAGAATGAAAAGGAAGGGTTTTTCAAGAGGCTCAGGAGGGACAGCAGAGGTGAGGGTGATGAATCAACATCTAACTCGGAGGGTTTCTTTAAGCGTCTCATGAAAGACAATAAATCAGAAGAAGAGGAGGTAACAAACAGTTCTGAGGGGTTCTTCAAGAGGCTCTTAAGTAGTAAAGGAGAAAACGAGGAGTTGACATCGAGTTCAGATGGGATGTTTAAGAGGTTGTTACGAGATAATAAGGGTGATGAAGACGATTTGAGTGCAAACTCGGATAGTTTCTTCAAGAGGTTATTACGAGATAATAAAAAGGACGACGAGGAATCAAATGCAAACTCAGAAGGGTTTTTCAAGAAACTATTCCGTGACAGCAAAATTGAGGAAGATAGAGTTCCTAAAGCATTGGGTGATGAGGACAAAGATGGGTTCCTTAAGAAACTTTTCAAGGACAAATCTGATGACAAAAGGCAGGTTAATGAAAAGAATGAGACGAATGGGGCAGTACTTGCTACTGATAAACCTGGTGAGGAGGATGAAACGGAGGGGTTTTTCAAAAAGTTATTTAAGGACAAGCCTGAAGAAAAGAAAGACACTGTAATAGCCGATGACGGGAGTGAAAGCGAGGGTGACGAATCTCCAGAATTTTCTCTGTTCAAAAGATTATTCCGTACACATTCAGAAGACGCAAAACCTACTTCAGAAATTGAAACTACGAGCAATGGCATAGTTGAAAGCAGTCCTGGGACAGAGAATTTTTTCCGTAAATTGTTCAGAGATCGTGACCAATCTGTTGAAGATTCTGAACTATTTGGATCAAAGAAACACAAAGAGGTTTTCTCTCATTTGACTTGGTCTCTTGTGTTTCTATCTTATTGCAAATACTGGGTTTTTCTGCACTGCTTGATATTCCATTTCTTTCGATCCATATCTTCAGATTCATTTGTCAATATTTTTGTAGGATATAATCATAAATATTTGCTTCTTGTGATATTTACTTGACGCAAATGTGGGCTGAAACAGGGTGGTTGTTCGACTGCAATTAATTAGTTATCTATACCGAACATTCTTTACTGTTATGTGTGCTTGAATCTGCGCATACCAATCTTTCTTATTATAACCATTTCAGAAGCGGCCAGGTTCACCTAAGCAGCGGGATGATACTACATCTGGTAAGCCCCCACTACCAAACAATACCGCTTCACAATTCAGGAAAGGGGCTTACCATGAGTCATTAGAATTTGTACAAGCGTTATGTGAAACATCGTATGGTTTGGTAGATGTCTTTCCCATCGAAGATCGGAAAATTGCTCTTCGGGAGGTGATCATTACACTTGACTTTCCATATTGACGAATAACTTTCGGTTGTTAAATAATACATTTGTAGCAACTGACTAGACCTCACGTTTCCTCTGTTTTGTTTTAGTCTCTTGCAGAGATCAATTTTCATTTATCTGAAGCTGAAACCACCGGAGGTATTTTCTAAAATTGATCTTACGAGGAGATATTATTTAGAGGTTTACTTTATTTGTGTAGCTCATATCTATTGAGCTGGCATGCATTATCTCAGTCACCTATGGTTTTCTCTGAGAGTATGTGAGAAAATTTTACCCGGTTCTAATGTTACTGAGATCTAAATCTTGTATCTTGTCTTAGAAAAAGTAGTATATCCGTTGTATCATGTTTCTACTGCTTTTATAAGTCCAATGTATGGTAGATGGTGGTCCTTGTTTGTCTGATTTGCAATCTTTCCACTCTTGTTTGGAGATTTTCCCCCACTCTTGATTTCTCCTTTATCACTGATCTTATGATTTCAGCTTTTACAAGCACTTTAGATTCCTTTCTTAGTTCCATCTACGTTGATTCTGTTGTGTAACTATTTTATTACCAGATACTAAAATTTTTCTCCAATAACCTTCCAGGAATTTGTTTTCCAATGGGGAGAGGAGTTTATCGTGTCGTTCATATTCCTGAAGACGAATGCACTCTTTTGAATTCTAGGGAAAAGGCGCCGTACATGATCTCCGTAGAAGTTTTGAAGGCGGCAACACCCAGGTAAGTTTAAAGTTTCTCAAAAGTAAACTTATCCACTGCTTCTTAATTTTCTTAAAAGTATACTTATCTAGGACCTCTACTAGGAAGTTAGCTTCTTTTTATGTCCTGTTAGTCGTACCAAGTGTAAACATTTTTGTGATAGCCCTCTCCCATTGTTCCTTTTGTTTTCTGAAACAGTGCTAAAGATACATCGAACTCCCAGAAGCTTTCTAGAGGGGGCATACCATTGGCCAACGGGGACGCATTTTTTCAAAAGCAACCTGCATGGGCTTATCCACTATGGACTACTCAGGAGGCTTATCGCAACAGTGCTGACCGAATGTCGCTATCCACTGCCCAAGCAATTGATCAAGCAATGACTCCTAAGCCCGACGTGAAGGTGAAACTTGTCAGTGTAAGCCTCTCAGTGGAGAGTTGTACTGCATCTCTTGAATCACTGAGTGATCCATTTGATGATGTCCTGGCTGAGGCCCCAAGAACTGGGCTGGACTCTGATCTTGAATGGGTAAGGGTTGTCGTGACGGCTGACCCAGGACTTCGAATGGACAGCATTTCTGATCCAGCAGTCCCACGTAAAAAGGAACATCGCCGTGTTCCAAGTACTGTTGCTATGGAGGAAGTAAGGGTGAGTATTTCTTGATCGATTTCTTGTAGAAGGAAATTACTCGTATGCTTTTGCCATCTGAATTCTGTATGATACATGATGTACTTTTTCTTGTGGTGGAAATAACTCTGATACTTAATCGAGTCGATATTTTGGTGCATGTACTTGTTCTTGCCCTGTGCACTTCAGTTACTTGCACCTACTATTTGAAAGTCAATATTTTGATATTGCATGTGTTCTATTTGTAATTCTCTCTCTACCCGTCATTAATCCTCAATTTAACAAATTATGCAGGCTGCTGCAGCGAAGGGTGAGGCACCTCCAGGCCTTCCTCTCAAAGGGGCTGGTCAGGATTCGTCAGATGCACAACCAAGGGTAAATGCGCGTTTAACAGATCTTCCTTTTCCTTCTCCTGTTCTAAATGCATATTTAACAGATTTTCCTTGTCCTTTTCTTGTTCTAAATTTTGAACCGTCTATTTATTTTTTTTTGTGATGATCACCAGGCCAATGGTGGAATGCTAAAGGAGGGTGATGCCTTATCTGGTGAACTTTGGGATGAAAGGCGAGAGAGAATACGTAAAGCTTCAATATATGGAAATTTACCAGGCTGGGACCTGCGCTCTGTAAGTGTTGCGTAAAACCATACCCTTTATCTTTAATACTTTGGTTTCCCTATCTAATTCCTTCCTCTAAATTAAGTTTGTTGTTGATAACTAGAATACGTATCTGTGTCAGCTAGGTTGATATATCACCCACAGTTTTCTGTTATTGGGGTTGAAGCTGTTTAATCTTTTTTATCTAGAGGACCATAACTCTTGATTCCAGATTTTGTTTTAAGGAATGTTAAGTTCCTGACCATAGCATTTTTTTTCTTTTAAACCTGCAACATTGTAGACATCAAAGTAATTACTGATACATGAGTCTTCGACAAGTCTTTATGAGGGAAATGATAGGCTTCTGCTTTTGATTCTCTTTAAATCTTCACTTGAAGTTATTTTTATATGTTGACATTGAAAAGCTGATGTCAAAGGAGTCAGATACTTTCCTTCCGTAATCTTTACTGAATTGTGGCCTTGTGTGTTGACCATTTTGCCATATGATATTTCTTTCTACCTCTATTTTTAAAAGGCTGTAGATCTTCGCAGATCATTGTGAAGAGCGGTGATGACTGTCGGCAGGAACATCTTGCTGTGCAACTCATTTCTCACTTTTATGGTGGGTGATACTTTCTTATATCTACTAGTGTCTGTTAATATCCTATTTCTTAGGGTATGGCTTCTCATTTTTGTTTTTATGCCTTCTTATTCTGTTATTTAAAGATGACTAATCTTATAGAGAATTGTCTTCTCCATATGGTAGATATATTCCAAGAAGCAGGTCTGCCGCTCTGGTTACGTCCTTATGAGGTCTTGGTTACATCTTCATATACTGCCCTTATAGAAACAATTCCAGATACGGTAATTTTCTAAACCAGAACGCTGTTTAACTGCTACGTTGTATCCTGTCATAAACTTTCTACGATGGAAGCATATGTAATAAGTTACCATTTTCCCTTCCTGCAGGCTTCTATTCATTCTATCAAAAGTAGATACCCCAACATCACGAGCCTCCGTGATTTCTTTGCTGCGAAGTATAAAGAAAACTCTCCGAGTTTTAAGCTTGCCCAGGTAATGTACTGTTGAGGTAGATCGTAATAGTTCAACTCAACCAGCATGGTGGTTATTTTGTTTCATATAATATGACCCATTCTTACCTTCTTGTGTCGTCTGCCATTTTATGTATATAACCTTCGGAGCTGGCTTCTTTTGCAGAGGAATTTTGTTGAGAGCATGGCCGGATATTCTTTGGTGTGTTACCTACTTCAGGTATATCTCTTAGCACCCCGTTCTCTCAGTACAGAGTTTATTTTTCTATACAAGCATCTAAGGGCGTTGTAAGCATGGGGGATTTATAGGTTTTACATGTCCTGGTGCCGTTGATATGTTTCATGAATAGCATGTTTTGAGGTTTTAAGGTTCATGTGCCAATGGTTTTTCATTTGGTTTGTTTAGGTAAAAGATCGTCATAATGGAAATCTTCTTTTGGATGAAGAGGGTCACATCATACACATTGATTTTGGCTTTATGCTTTCAAATTCTCCTGGTGGTGTAAACTTTGAGAGCGCTCCGTTTAAGTTAACACGTGAACTTCTTGAGGTAAGACACTTCATTCTTACTCTAATAAAAAATTTGGTTTTCGTCTCTTCGAAGTATTTAAAAAATAAAACACTTCGTCACAACTAGGTGATGGACTCTGATGCCGATGGAGTTCCAAGTGAGTTCTTTGATTATTTCAAGGTATCCACGTGGCTCTCCCTCTCGCCTCTTAATCCTATCACTTTAAGTCTCTTTAACTTTTCTTCGTATAGCTCTATTATGTTGAAGAAGAACCCATATCTAACTGTCGATTTATTGTTAGGTGCTATGCATTCAAGGATTCCTTACATGTAGAAAGCACGCTGAGCGAATTATTCTCTTAGTTGAAATGTTACAGGTACCATCATCATAATCTCTTGCATTCTTTATATGAAACCTGAACCGTATATAGTTATAACTTATAATATGGCAACAAAGCCTAACTATCTTGCATTCTTGATTAGGACTCGGGTTACCCTTGCTTCAAAGGTGGTCCACGAACAATTCAAAACCTAAGAAAACGATTCCATCTAAGCTTAACCGAAGAGGTAAAAAAAGCCTTTTGTTTGATGTCTCAACTTCTCGTATGATGCACTGATTGGTAACAGTCTTTCTATTCTTTTGTATTTTGGTTGGGTCACGAAAACCAGCAATGTGTGTCGTTGGTGTTGTCTCTCATCAGCAGTAGCTTAGATGCTTGGCGAACACGGCAGTATGATTACTACCAGAGGGTCTTAAATGGAATATTGTGATGTTCCATTACAGAGGGAACCAACAACATAATAAGGGTTTAGCCTCAAAACATACATCGGTTATGTGTTGGGTTAAAACGGCTAAAAACCATGCGTTTTAAGGAAACCCTTTTTCTCATAGCTAATAGTAAAAGGCAGAAGAAAGAAAAAGCCTTTTAATCTGAAGAGAAGCAGATCAGCGTGAGTGGGAGAAGAAACAAACCAATCACCACCACACATTACCGTTTGTGTACAGAAAGTTTTTTTTTTTTTTTTGGGCAGAGGTTTGATTGTTTTTATCTTTTTACTATACTTTCTCTACTTGCAGGAGAGAAAAGAAAAAGGAAGATGCCTCAGTTTTCTTACTCTTCTCAAAACATATCCCTTTTAGAGATGACAACTAATGATGTGATCTTGTTGTATAAATTGTGTATTATCTTTTGTTAAATAAGAATCCGAGCAAGAAAAAACAAACTGTAGAACATATAAAAACATTCGTTTGAAGTTGTGTATTTCCATCGATTCTTCCCTTGTAATTATTATTAGTCTCTAATCAATGGATACAATACAAAGATTAAAGTCAACGATTACATTTTTACTGTATTTATGTAAAAGGCTAATCCATGATGTAAAGTCAAGGTAACAAAAGTTAAGCTTATAATAAAAATGTAATCGTTGACTTTTTATTCTCTTAAGATGATCTTACAATGATGGAAGCTCTCTTCTAAATATGAAAAGATAAGAGACATGCCAAATGGAGCCAGTGGGCTAATCCTGATCAGGCTAGGGCAAGATAACATGATAGAAATGAGTTTGAAGCAGAGATTGTGGAGCTGAGAAGTGGGGACTAGACTGAATCTGACCACAAAAACACTTAGAAAATCTGAAAGACTCAAAAAACTTTTAAGTAGTAAGAAACTTTGACGTGGACTTTTTGCCAATTAGGACACAAGTGCAATCTCACCTTATCCACACTCTCCAACCACAATCCCTTATTAGATTCAGACGTCCACGTCATCATCATCCTTTAACATCTCTAATAAAGTGACTAATCTCTTTTTTCTTTCAGTCACCAATCAAAAACTCCAAAGCTCTTGATTTTCTGAAGAAGCAACAGAGAGAGAGAGAGAGATTTAATGGCGGCCATGAACTCTAGTGTTCTCACCTGCAGCTACGCAATCTCTGGTGCTAGCTCAACAGAGCTAAACCAGAAAGTGGGTTTAGTGAACTCATCGGTTGGGTTTGGTCAGAAGAAACAGACGGTTCCTGTGATCAAAGCAGCTCAAAGAGTTGGTGGTGATGATGTTAATGGAAGAAGATCCGCAATGGTGTTCTTAGCTGCTACACTCTTCTCCTCTGCTGCTGTGTCTGCTTCTGCTAATGCTAGCGTCTTCGATGAATACCTCGAGAAGAGCAAAGCCAACAAAGTAACGTCTTCAAAACGTTATGAATCAAAGAAACCTTTTTTTTAATGTAAATTAATGGTTTTATTTGAAAATTGTGATATGATAGGAACTTAATGATAAGAAGAGATTGGCAACAAGTGGAGCAAACTTTGCGAGAGCATTCACTGTTCAATTCGGAAGCTGCAAGTTCCCTGAGAATTTCACTGGTTGCCAAGATCTTGCCAAGCAAAAGGTCATTCCTAATAGTCAACCTTTTTTTTCTTTAGGAGACAGTTGATAGAGTAGATATGATGTTAATTCATCTTCTTGTTTTTTTTAATGTAAATGCAGAAAGTGCCATTTATCTCAGAAGATTTGGCTTTGGAATGTGAAGGCAAAGACAAGTTCAAGTGTGGTTCCAATGTTTTCTGGAAATGGTGATCATGTTTTGTTTGTTTGTATCCATTCTTATATAAACCCAACAATGTATCTATCTATCTCTGGACATCAAAGTTATCAATTGTCATAACCATTTAAATCTATCAAGTTGAACTGAATATTAACGCATACACAAATCACGTTGGGCGTGCGTGAGTTAGATATGTCTGAGGTTCGAGTCATTAAGATTTATTTCAGTTTATCATATTAATATGTGCTTGAATATATGCTCTCACTGTAATCTAACTTAACCATAGAAACGTCAAGAACGTTCATCTTCTTCAAGACGAAAAAACAAGTGCAAAAATAGCACAAACAAACGACTCAACTCAGACAAAATAAAATGAATTTCCTAAATGACGACAAAGTTTAACAAAGGAGTCTGTTTACGTACAAAAAGACTCGAACTAAGTTTCTTGTTTTCTCAAGTGGCGATAGCGTAAGTAAGAGTCTCTACATCTTTGGGTCGCCACATTGACTTCTGAACAGAAAGCAAACCTTCTTTTTCCTTAGAGTAAGTCATACGCACTTCCCATTTCATCGCTTTCACCATTACTTCCACTTCTCGTATCGTCTCCGCATCGTCCCTCACTATCAGCTTCCCTTCCGGTCTCAGAACCCTATCCACCTCCGCAACAACCGCCGTCAGATTGCACCTGTACAAAACAAAACACAGTGAGTTAGTTAGTTCTCATGTTTCTAGGAAACAGAGAGACCAGACAACAGACATATACCTTTGTTTGAGTTTGGAGAAAAGATGGTCTGCGTGAAGAAGATCATATGATCTCGGGTAAGTACTGAAAGATTCACACCAATCGTGGTAGATACCAAACAGTCCACGCTCATAGATTATTGCTAGTGTGTCTGGTGAATCTATTGGAACCACATTCATCACCCACACTTTCAACTCTCTAAGAGCCGCTGCAAATCTGCAAACACACAAACATTAACTCTTGCAAGTCTAGAATCGGTTCTAATTAAAGAAACTCTGTTTTGTTTTTTTTTTTACTTACCCTCCATAAACAGCTTTCATGTCCATGACGTTTCTAACAGTTCCCCAGTCAATTCCTAAACCTTTAAGGTATGATTTGGTCACAACTCGTTTCCAGTGATCATAATCAGCGGTGAAATCCTCTGGTGCTGCTTTTCCATAAACTCCGGTCTGCGAACTCGATAACCAGTACGGTGGTTTATCTAATCTCGCTGGCCATTGCTCCGGCCACTGAGATCCACGTTCGGTTTCTACTGGTGCGGGGTGCATGCATGCTTCAAGTGGGACTTTCCTGTTTATATCAAAACCCAGAAACAATCTTTTATGACAAAAAACGCAAACTGGCTGATACCAAAGCAATTATAAAAGATAAAAAAAGATCATACCAAGATGCATTTGGGTCATCAGAGTCGGCACAAATTGGAGGCTCTTGTTCTGATCTGCCTGTGTAGCATTCATTTGAAGTAGGCTTTTTGTAAGTAGCTACACCAACTCCGTTGATCTTGTCCTTGTTTATCGATATGAGTTTCCAACACATTTTCTTAGTGAGTTCACTCATAGCTGCAATATTCGCCAACATGAGGTGTGAGAAAAAGGATGTTCCAGAGCAATTATATATGGAGGATAACGTTTTTTACAACCTTTCCAAATTTCAACATCTTCTGTCTTCTTCTGATAAACAGGAGTAGCAGACCACACAAAGAAGCCTCCGGGTCTCAATACACGGTTTAGCTCTAGAAGGAGTTTTCCACCTGTCCATGCATAGTAACAGATGGTAAAGATCCAGGAGGATTTTTCATTCAAAGACTACATTCTATGGCGGATATGCTATGTTTACCTTCTATGTGCCATGGCACTCTACAGCGAGCACAGTGAACAATGTCGAAAACTCTGCCAGGGAAAGGTAGCCTTGTAGTGCCCATCACTGCAGAAATAGCAGGAATGCCTCTCTCAAGAGCAAACTGCACTTGAGCTTCGTGTTCATCTTTAGGCGCAAGGGACATCGTGATCACGTCTCTGTCGAAGAGGAAACCTCCAAAGCTTGCAACACCACATCCAACATCCAAGACCACACGTGAGCGTTTACCCCACGCGATATCAGGGACAGACTGTAAAGCAGATTTTTCATCAGACGAAGGAACTTCATAAGCACAAATACCTACCCTTTGAAGTAATCAAAGTACAATTCAGATTTTCCAAACAAAAGAACCAACCTCCTGTATGAAATCGATGTAATGAAGAGCACCATGCTTGAACTGAGTTCCTCCTCCAGGAAAAGTTAGATACTCACCAGTCACTTTAACCCAATTTTGATGCCCCTTATACTCAGCAAGCTTGGTATGAGGCACGTTGGTGTACCAGATCTGCATAAACGAAAATAGTATTAGATTTTTAACATATATAGTAGAGTGAAGAAAGAAAGTCAGCAGACCTTTTCTCTACTTTTAGGCCACTCAATTGGCGGCTTATATCCTTCAGGCAAAGGAACGAGACAGGTAGGTGGGCCATCCGGGCAATGCCTCTCACGATGCTCATAATGTTTAGTACTCTTAAGACTCCTAATGGCTTGCACATTATCAAGACAAGGAATATAATCCGGCCCGGCAGTAGTATTGCAGACCTTCCATTTGAAATCAATCTGCTCACCAGAACTCTTCTGAGCTTCTTTCTCTTTTTTGGACTCTGTTGCCTGAGTTGAAAACGAACCATTCTGTGCAATAGTTTCATTAAGCAGCTCTAACTGTGCCCCAGGAGCCGAAATCTCACCTGAAGTCTCGTTTTTAGGTTGACTCTCTTGCTCCACAGTTGTCTTACTGTTTTCCTTCTCAGGCTTTGTTTCACCACCTTCATTGCCTGTTTCTTTATCATCGTCACCGGACTTTTTCTCACTTTCGTCAGCCTTTTGGTCCTCACCAGACTCATTATCCTCCGTCGTCTCCGGCTTAGTCTCCTTTTCATTAGAGTCAGGATTCTCCTCATCAGGGTTGTCTTTCAAATCATTTTCCTCACTTTTAGTCTCTTCTTTAGTTTTCTCTTCCTTGCTTGAGCTCTCCTCCTTTGGTGTTTTACTTTCCTCCACAGGTGGAGGTGTCATCTGATTCTTGATCCCATCTTTGTTATCCACATCAACCACATCAACACTCTCAGCTGGTCCAAGTGATGATGACGTCATCATCCAAATCCCCACTAAACATAGTGCCACAAACACAACTATAGTCACCGTAGAGCAATAACTCGACGAAGGCCTCCTATTGTTGTTGTCAATCCTAGTGTACCTTGGCTGCGCCATCACTCCAAAAATCTAACAATAAAACAGATAACAAAAACGTCTACACAGTTAGAGAATCAATTAAATCATATCATTAGAGAGACAGCAATCAAAAATCGTATTTCTCCCATATGCATCAATCAGCTTGTTTAATTGAATTTTCTGAATAAGATTTTGATATTGAGATTTAAACACACAGATCGAAACCAGATCTGCTTAAACCCTAGCGATTACAGTTTAAAACCAGACGAACAACGAGATTAACGACGAGTATAGCTAAGTGATATTCTTCACACGATAATCAACAAAACAACGCACAATAATAAGGAATCTATGAGCATAATAACGAAGAGAAAACAGTAGATCCGTAACAGATCTATAGGTAGAATAACTATTTTTCTACATCATCGCGATCATCAGCACTAAGAAACGTACGATGAAAGAACAGAGGAAGGAGTACCTGATGAAGAGGAGAGAAAGGAGAATTCGAAAATGTCAGAGTTGTCAGTCAGCTACGGAGCCATTTCTCCGTGACTTTTCTCGAGAAAATTCGAATGGCACGAGATAGTGATGAGAGGCGTGAGGATGGGAAGATAAATGTTTTTATTATAAAATATAGGATATATTATAGTATTGATTTAATAAATGAACAAAAGAGTTAATTATTAATTAATTTTAATTTACGGGGGTAAAAAGTAAGTACTTGTAGCTCTAGGCAAAAAAACCAGAACCGAAAAACCGAACTGGAATCAAACCGAAATACCTGAAATCGAAATCAGACCGAAATTCTTGAATATTTGAATGGTTTCTATATTTCTATATTCGAACCGAACCGAGAACCAAACGGGTACCCGAATATCCGAAAAAACAAGTTAAGTTTTTTAATATAAGATAAAATGACTTCAAACCACTTGAACCCATCTTGAATACAAAGAGTAAGTACATTTTTATCACCAGACCACATTATATTTTATTTATTCTCTTTTTTTTTTATCAAAGTTTTATTTATTCTCTTATATTATAAATATATATAGTATTTTGATATTATAATATGATAAATATTTATAAGATTAATACTTTATTGATTCGAACTCTTGTTGGATTGACGAATATGTAAGCGTGTAAATTAGGGGTGGGCACTTTATCCAATACCCGAACTCATACCCGAACCCGACCCGAAATATCCGAACCGAAATCCGAACCGAAGTACCAAAATACCCGAACGGGTATTGAGTTAGGAGAGTTTGGATATCCGAACCCGAACGGGTATCCGAAGATAACCAAACATATGTATATATACCTATTTATTCCTAATTTATTTTGTCTCCTTTTATTAAAACTATTTATATTAATGTTATAAATAGTTTAATATCAGATAATATACATATAATTATAAAAAAAGTGATTTGTTACTTATTTAAAATACATATTAAACTTCTTATTTCATACTTTAAACAAAATTTGCATCCAAAATTCGAAAATAACAACCAAAATAATGATTTTTATTTTCAATAATTTATTTTCAAACTTATTAATTGTCTAACTTATTAAACATTCTAAAAACTATTAAGTTAATAGTTAAATTTTAAATACATAAAACTTAAGTAATAAAGAATTTGAAGTTTTTCTTTCAAAATCTAAATATCCGAACCCGACCGGAAATAACCGAACCCGAACTAAAAATATCCGAACCCGACCCGATATGTAAAAATACCCGAACGGGTTCTAAACCCTAATACCGAAATACCCAAAAACCCGAAATATCCGATCTGAACCCGAACGGGTACCCGAACGCCCACCCCTAGTGTAACTACTAAGCCATTTGAATTAACATATTAACTAATATATTATGTATATATATATATATATATATATATATATATATATATTTGATTTATATATTAAATGGGTACCCGGAACCGAAACGAAATTGAATTGGAACCGAATCGAAATCGAACCGAAATATCATAAGTACCTATTAAATATATGAATGATTTATCTGATATACCCAGAAACAAATGGTTACTATCCGGAACTGAACCCAATATCTGAGTGTCCAGACCTAAGTAGTCGATTAGATGCTGAGAAGTAGTCGTTTAGATGCTGAGAAAAAAGAGGAACTACGGAGTTGGCGTGAATTTAGTGGTCGAACTTTTTATTAAAATATCTTTTTAGATTATTTATGGTTAGGTTCAGTCTAGTTTAGTCAATTGCTTAGTTTAGCCCATGTTTTTGTTTATTAATTTAAATTATATATCATCATGATATGAAAGTTGTTGAAGTGTGGTTACTTGTAGCATGATTTTAGCTAAAAGCAAAAATCACACTTTTAAATATTTTAAACTCTTTCATACATTTAACTCTTTTCCGTTCACATGTGACAAGTTTTGCTATTGGTTTATTGCTATGTAACACTATTTACATGTGACATATAGTTATATACTTGTACGGTTGGGAATTTTATCCGATGGCCGAATCCAAATTTGAACCTAATCCAAAAATCCGAATTAAAACTCGAAGCAAAGTAGCAAAATATCTAAACGAATATTGAATTAGAAAAGATTTGATATCCGAACAGGTAATATCCAAACCCGAATGGATATAAGATAACCAAACATATGTATATTTAACCTTATGTTTTTAGTTCACTTCATTAAATACCCGAACAAATTCTAAATCCCTATACCGAAGTATGCCAAAATCTGAAATACCTGATCCAAACCCGAATGTGTATCTTTATTATATAGACAAAAAATCAATTAGATGAGGTTATGAAGGCAACCATAACATCAATAAGACGAGGTTATGAAGACAACCATTCGAATTATAGAGACAATTGAGTGTTTAATAAATGTCTATGTCTTTGCTTGATTTGTATGTTTAATACGAGTGTTGCTGGATCTTATAGGAGTATGCCTTCTAAGAAAGTGAACCATGAACCGATGTCTGTCAAAAATTATCTAACACTACTAAAATCCCGATATAAAAGTCTATGAGCTATGCATAAGGGATTATGCACACCTTAATTAACTTTAGAATATTCTAATAATTACAATTTTGCTAATTAAACCTAAATGCACACAACTTTTTGAAAATGATAAATATTATATTAGTATTACCTAATATAGATTTTGTGGTTTATTCAAAGTTTGACCAATAATCATAAGGTTTGTACAATTTTTGAATCTTAAGAAAATTAAGTTATATTTCTATATTATTATAAATAAAGGTTGATGGTTGCTATCATCAGCTTTCAGATTCAGAAATTTAACCTTATGATAGCAACCATCAACCATCAACCATCTCGTCTAATATCATGCTTGCAATTGGAGATAGAGATTTTAAAAACACATTCAACGATCTGACGGTCACACGATGCTGCTGTCTTATCACTCCAAGTCCGTTGAAGAAAGTATCAAGCTTTTCCAAGCAGAGAAGAAGTGGGAATGAAGAGAGCTATTATCTCTCCCAATACCTCAACCACTTACCCCACGGAAGATGACAAAATGGATGGATAAGAAGAATAAGAAAATGCTAAAGCTGTTGAACGCGAGGAGTAAGTGGGTTTCTATCAAGAAGAGCTGGGTTGGGACAAGGGCCTCTTGGAAGTTATGGACGTGAGAGTTGATAGAGAGGTCACCAAGAGAAGACATATAAACTTTCATTGGAGTGAGTGGGTTTGAACTTATAATTAATTAGTAGTTTTCACCAAAAAAACTTATAAACTTTCATTGGTCTGTATGTCATATGCTTTTAAGTTGGTTGCGTTTCAATTCCTCACACTTTGATTTATAGACTACTAGTATTTGCCCGCGCTGTTACGTTTCAATTCATGTACTTGGAAATCACGTATGTAATATACACCTCCGAAATGATTATTGTTTATAATCAACCTATTTTTCTAACATATTAAACCGTATTTACTTAATCAGTTAAGACAATAACATGAACCATATACGTTTGAAAAGTGTTAAACCATATAATGATTTCTTTAAATGATGAGATTTATGTTAAAGTGATGGCTGCTGATTTATGCTATGCAAAAATTGATGGTTGGTTGTTTTTTTTGCTATGACAAAAACATATCCCTTATATACTAATATCATAAACACATTAGTTGTTAATAATTGGTATGTCTAATTGTATTTTTAGTAATTAGTCTATTAAAAGAAGAATCTTTAATTAAGTACAGTAAAACCTCTATAAATTAATAATGTTGAGACTATACCAAATTTTTTTTTTTTTTATTAATTTAAAGAGATATTAATTTATCGATATACTAATCGAACCAAAAACTCAATTTTGGAACTATAAAATTATATTATTTTATAGAAATATTTAGTGTATATTAATTTATCGAGTGTATTGTGAAAAGAAGGTCTAGTGTGTTAACATCTTAAAAAAAAAAGGTTTCTCTATTAATAATAAAGGAAAGGATTAAGGAATTTAACGTTAGCTAATTGTGTATTAACGAAACAAAAAGAGAATGAATCATCACCACACTACTACTTTATTGCGCCGAAAAATCAAACAAACGCATCACCGTTGAGTGATAATTGTTTATTGACCAGGGACATGTGAAGGATCCACATTCGATTTTTTAAATCGCTCTCCAGATCCAAAGAGGTTTCACACTGCCAAGATCCGATCATCATCAATCGATTTATTCTTTGCTTCTCCGGTAAAAGACTCTTATATTCACGAGCTTAATTTGCCGATTAACTTTTCTTTCTTTCATTAAAAGATTGCTGAATTGTGAAAATTTGTTGGATTTGGATATAAGAAACACTCTTCTCTGTATAATTGATTGTTCTAATGATTAAACCTTTTATTATTGTTTTGCTTTTGTCTGACTAAGATTTGATATACATTGTTTTGCTTTTGAATTTCTGACTAATAATTAACACTATGTGACTGGTCTCTTCTAGGGATCTTGAACCTTCAAAAACAGAGCAAGGAGAGCTTTCTTTGTTGTTAAAGAGTTTTGATGTATTCATTCTAAGATGTTTGGTGGAAAGAGTAACATACTCAGAGGAAGTGTCTCACTAGCCTTAGTTATCCTCATCCTTTTGATGCTAACACTCCTTGTTTCCGAAGAAAACCCACTTCGTGCTTCTCTCTTTGATCTAAAACGTCAGTTCTCAGCTTCTCCTTCCACTTCTTCTTCTTCAGGTACCTTTTTTGCTTATTCTCAAGATATTGTAGTCTGGTTTATCTGATTTACATTTTGATTTCCTATTCAGTTTGTAACTATGCAAAAGGAAAATGGGTTAAAGACAAGAAGAGACCATTGTACTCTGGTTCTGAATGTAAACAGTGGTTATCATCCATGTGGGCTTGTAGAGTAATGGGCAGACCTGACTTCTCTTTTGAGGGTTACAGATGGCAACCACAAGGTTGTAACATGCCACAGTTTGACAGATTCACCTTCTTAACAAGGTATATGTACACAAGTTTTCTTGAACCATCAGTGAACCACATGGCCTTGTGATGTATATAGATTGGGTTATTGTGTGAATATGTAGTCAGGGGTAAATCATTGCCCTATAACCCTAAAATTTTACATATATATAGACCTCAAATTTGTAAAATAATTTTTTTTTTTTTTGTATAAACCTTCACCAAATTACCTATAGACTTTAAAATCTCAGGACCGGCCCTGGTTATAGTGGAGCAAGTTCTTAAACGTCTCTTATATTGCTAACTACTACTTTGCTTAATAGAATGCAGAACAAGACGATAGCATTTATAGGAGACTCGTTGGGACGGCAACAGTTTCAGTCTCTGATGTGTATGGCCACTGGTGGTGAAGACAGTCCAGAGGTTCAAAACGTGGGATGGGAGTACGGTCTAGTCAAACCCAAAGGAGCTCTCCGTCCTGATGGTTGGGCTTATCGTTTCCCAACCACAAACACAACCATCTTATACTATTGGTCAGCTAGTTTATCAGATTTAGTCCCCATGAACAACACTGAACCACCTCGTCTCGTTGCAATGCATCTAGACCGTCCACCAGCGTTCATGAGGAAGTACCTTCACCGTTTCGATGTGTTGGTTCTCAACACAGGTCACCACTGGAACAGAGGCAAGATAGAAGGCAATCACTGGGTGATGCACGTGAATGGAACAAAGGTTGAAGGAGAGTTTCTCAAGGATATTAGTCACGCTAAGGTTTTTACAATACACAGCGTTGTGAAGTGGCTAGATGCAGAGCTTTTATTGCATCCGCGTTTGAGAGTTTTCTTTAGGACGATATCTCCGAGGCATTTTAGGAACGGAGATTGGAACACAGGTGGGAACTGTAACAACACGGTTCCTTTGTCTAGAGGAAGTGAAATCAATGGTGATGATGGGTCGGTTGATACAACGGTGGAGAGTGCTGTGAATGGGACAAGGATCAAGATTCTTGATATAACTGCACTTTCTGAGCTGAGGGATGAAGCTCATATCTCAGGGTCTAAACTCAAACCTAGAAAACCTAAAAAGGTGACTAGTAACGTGACTTCCACGGCTCCAGCGGTTAATGATTGCTTGCATTGGTGCTTACCAGGGATTCCAGATACTTGGAATGAACTTTTCATTGCTCAGATTTAAGAAATACTCATACACCATTTATACGTAGTTCAGTGGATTGGTCTCTGTTGTTGATTCTTTGTTATAGAAAGGTTTTGATTTTGTTTTTCTTCTTTTGAGAAAAACAAAGGCTACAGATTGTTGATTCATAGGTTGTACAAGAAACACTGAAACAGTAATCACATGTGATGATGGATAGGTTGAAAAACTTGATTCGCCTGGTTCATACTTCTATTAGCTAAGAAGTCCTTATGCTAAAAGCTATTCTAAGGTTGGCGAAGGTTGTGAATTCCATCATCAATTAATAATAGCAATCTAAGTGAAAGAGGCTAATAAAAAGAGGCCTGATATCTTATTTGTCCAATTTTCTCTAAAAATTACAGATTTTACAGCCAACTGAATTAGGTGGAATATGAAGTTTTATTAAATTTCTCATTAAAATATTATAAACGATGTCTATATATCATGAAAATAAGTTTAACATACATTAATATAAATTTATAATTTGATTAAGTATTTTTAGTCAATATGAAAGAACATAAACTTCAGTAAATATCATTTATCGAAAAATTCGATCGTTTTCTAGGGGTCAACATACAAATTTCAAGATAAATTAAAAAATAGAGTCTTTTTATTTTAATGCATAGATGCTTTCATCACATATATAGGATGAAGATCAAGGATGTTTAAAACCTTTGTTGTCCCAATTATTTCTAGAATATAGAGATTTCATAAGGCTTTGTTCTTGATTTACGTGGTATATAAAGTTTCATTAAATTACTCGTTGGAAAATTATAACTAATGTCCATGTACCATGAAAATAAATTTAGGATACATTAGTATAAATTTTTAATGTGGTTATATATTTTAATAACACTAAAAAGGCTAAACTTAAGTACAAATAGCATTTATCTGAAAACTCGATCTTTTCATAGAGATTAAATCACATAAATTCAAGATAAATTAGAAAAATATGAATTTTTTGTGTTTATGCATACCTGCATTCAACACTGATATATGATAAATATCAAAGAGTTTTGATACCTTAGTCTTCCAAAATTCTCTAGAAAATAGAGATTTCATATATATATAAATTTGTGAGTGTAGTTATGTATTTTATAAAAAACACTAAAGAGGCTAAATAGTATAGATAGTATTTATCAAAAAATTCAATCTTTTCATAGGGGTTAACCCACATATTTCAAGATAAATTAGAAAATATGATATTTTGTTTAATGTATATATGCATCATGTACTGACATAATATGGAGATTTGAGACATTACGTGCTCCCGTTTCTCCAGAAAATAAATATTTTATAGGAATTAGTCAACTTATTAGGTAGTATATGAAGTTTAAGTTTTTTTTTATTAGTTGGAAAATTAGAAATAATGCCTATATACCATGAAAATAAGTTTAGCATACATTAATATAAATTAGAGTGTGGTTAGGTATATTTTTAAAAAATATTAATGATGCTACACTTTATTATATGTAACATTTAAACTATTATTTTGTAAGATAAATAAGAAAATATGATATTTTATTTTAATGAATAACTTCATCATGCAATGACATGTGATGAAAATTAAAAAGATGACTCAGATCTTATTTGTCCCAATTTCTCTAGAAATTACATATTTTATAGGGATTACCCACTGAATTAAGTGGAATATGAAAATTTATTAAATTACTCATTAAAATATTAGAAACGATATTCATGTACCATGAAAAAAAGTTTTAACATACATTAATATAAATGTATAATTTGATTAGGTATTTTTTAGTCAACATGAAAGAGCATAAACTTCAGTAAATATCATTTGTTTGAAAATTCAATCGTTTTGTAGGGGTTAACTACAGATTTCAAGATAAAATAAAAAAATACACTATTTTAATTTTAATACATAGGTGCATTCATCACATATATAGGATGAAGATCAAAGATGTTTAAAACCTTTGCTGTCCCAACTCTCTCTAGAATATAGAGATTTCATAAGGTTTAGTTCTTTGATTTATGTGGTATATGAAGTTTCATTAAATTACTCGTTCAAAAATTATAACTGATGTCAATGTACCATGAAAAGAAATTTAGGATACATTAGTATAATTTTTTAATGTGGTTAGATATTTTAAATAACACTATAGAGGCGAAACTTAAGTACATATAGCATTTATCGGAAACTCGATCTTTTCGTAGAGACTCACAAATTTCAAGATAAATTATAAAAATATGATTTTATGTATTTATGGATAGCTGAATCTAACACTGATATATGATGAATATCAAAGAGTTTTGATACCTTAGTTTTCTAAAATTCTCTAGAACATAGAGATTTCATAGGGTTTAGTTCATTGATTCTGATGGTACATGAATTTTATTAAATTATTTTGTTAAAAATTATGCCCATGTACCATAAACATAATTCTATTACATTAATATGAATTTTGAATGTGGTTAGTTAATTTTAAACAAAACTAAAGAGACTTATATATAACATTTATCGAAAAGCTTAATCTTTTTGTAGGTGTTAACCCACATATTTCAAGATAAATTAAAAATATGGTATTTTTTAATGAATTTTGCATCATGCAGTGTCATAGTATGTATATTAAAGAGGTTTGATATCTTAGGTGTTCCCGTTTCTACAAAAAATTGAACTTTTATAGGGATCAGTCCACTTATTAGGTGGTATATGAAGTTTAAATAAATTACTCATTTAAAAATTAGAAATGATGCCCATGTACCATGAAAATAAGTTTAGCATACATATATACAAATTTAGAAGTGTAGTTATGTATTTCTAAAAAATACTAAAGAGGCTAAATAGTATATATAAAAAAATTCAATATTTTCGTAGGGGTCAACCCACATATTTCAAGATAAATTAGAAAATATGGTATTTTATTTTAATGTATATATGCACCACGTGCTGACATAGTATAGAGATTTGAGACATTAGGTGTTCCCCTTTCTCTAGAAAATAAAATCTTTACGGTATATGAAGTTAAAATTTTTTATTCGTTAGAAAATTAGAAATGATGCCTATGTACCTTGAATTTTTTTTAGCATACATTAATATGTATTAGAGTGTGGTTAGGTATTTTAATTTTTTTTTTAAATGAGGCTACACCTTAGTATATATAACATTTATTGGGAAAAACTTAATATTTGTGTAAGATAAATTAGAAAATATGATATTTTGTTTTAATTCATAACTTCGTCATGCAATGATATGAAAAAGAGGTCTGAAATCTTATTTGTCCCCATTTCTACAGAAATTACAGATTTTATAGGGGTTAGTCCACTGAATTAAGTGGAATATGAAGTTTTAATAAATTACTCATTAATGTATTAAAAATGATGTCCATGTACCATGAAAATAAGTTTAACATACATTAATATAAATGTTTAATTTTATTAGGTATTTTTAGTCAACATGAAAGAGCATAAACTTCAGTAAATATCATTTATCGGAAAATTTGATCTTTTTGTAGGGGTTAACCCACAGATTATAAGATAAATTAAAAATATGATATTTTATTTTAAAGCATAGATGCATTCATAACAAATATATAGGATGAAGATCAATGATGTTTATAACCTTTATTGTTCCAATTATCTCTAGAATACATAGATTTCATAAGGTTTAGTTTTTTGATTTACGTGGTATATGAATTTTCATTAAATTACTCTTTGGAAAATTATAAGTGATGCCAATGTACCATGAAAATAAATTTGGGATACTTTAGTATAAATGTTTAATGTGTTTAGATATTATAAATAGCACTAAAGTGGCTAAACTTGACTACAAATAACATTTATCGGAAAACTCATTTTTGTATTTATCAAACAATTCAATCTTTTCGTAGGGGTTAACCCACATATTTCAAGATAAATTAGAAAATATGGTATTTTTTAATGTATATATGCATCATGTACTGACATAATATGGAGAGTTGAGACATTAGGTGCTCCCGTTTCTCCAGAAAATAAATATTTCACAGGAATTAGTCAACTTATTAGGTGGTATATGAAGTTTAAAAAATTGAATTCGTTGGAAAATTAAAAATGATGCCCATGTACCATGAAAATAAGTTTAGCATACAATACTATGTATTTGAGTGTGGTTAGATATTTTAAATAACACCAAAGAGACTAAACTTAAGTACAAATAACATTTATCGGAAAACAAGATCTTTTCGTAGAGATTAACTCACAGAAATTCAAGATAAATTAGAAAAATATGGAATTTTTGTATTAGATAGTATTTATCAACATCAAAGTGTTTAAAAATTATAGATAGCATTTATCCGAAAATTAATTTTTTTCAAAGGGGTTAACCCACATATTTGAAGAAAAAGTAGATTTATTTATTTATTTTTGTTTTAATGCATATTTCCATCATGAACTGAAATATTATAAAGATTAAAGATGTTTGAGACCTAATGTGTTCCCATTTCTCTACAAAATAGAGATTTTATAGGGGTTATGACATTAATTAGATCGTATATCAAGTTTAAATAAATTACGCGTTATAAAATTAGATATGATGACCATGTACCATGAAAATATGTTTAGAATACATTAATATACACTGAGAATGTGATTTGATACTTTTAAAGAACACCAAAGTTTCTAAAAATTATAGATATCATTTATCGGGAAATTCAATTTTTTCAAAGGTGTTAACCCACATATTTCAAGAAAAATTAGAAAATTTTGTATTTTTATTTTAATTCATATTTTTATCATGCTCGGACATAGTATGAAGATTAAAGAGATCTGAGACCTTATATATTTCCCTTTCTCTAGAAAATAGAGATTTTATAGGGGTTAATACACTAATTAGATCGTATATGAAGTTTAAATAAATTACTCGTTAGAAAGTTATATATGATGACCATCTACCATGAAAATATGTTTAGACTACATTAATATACATTGAGAGTGTGGTTTGGTATTTTTAAAGAACACTAAAGAGTCTAAAAATTATAGATAGAATTTATCAGAAAATTGAAGTTTTTCAAAGGTGTTAACCCACATATTTCATGAAAAATTAGAAATTTTGTATTTTTATTTTAATTCATATTTTTATCATGCTCGGACATAGTATGAAGATTAAAGAGGTCTGAGACCTTATATATCCCCCTTTCTCTAGAAAATAGAGATTTTATAGGGATTAATACACTAATTAGATTGTATATAAAGTTTAAATAAATTACTTGTTAGAAAGTTAAAAATGATGACCATGTACCATTATAATATGTTTAGACTACATTAATATACATTGAGAGTGTGGTTTGGTATATTTAAGCAACACT